GTAACTTTAGATGTTCTCAATAATTTTTTGTTTGATATGTTGAAAATTACAATGGAAACTAATAATTTTTCTTAATCACTTGGGCAGGGCTTGGATTAAGGTCAGTGGGGGTGATCACAACTGCAAGGTCAACGGCATCCTTGGCCTTTTGTGCAGGCTACACTTCCCTGGCTTAGTGCAGTTCCACGAAGAGCTGCAGCCAGCCTACATGTGGGACCACTATGTCACCGCCCTCGACGCCGCTGATCGTGATGGCAAGGTATTCCCCAACAAGGCGGAGCGGGTGAAGGGCGAGCTGTGGGTAAGTATTCCTCGCACTACATTGCTCAATACATCACATTCACTGGACATTCTTGAAGTAATGACTGTATACATCGCGTCTATATGCAGGACTTCTACAGATGCTAGGAGGGGTACGAGGCCAAGGCGGCCTCCATCTCTGAAGAAGCCGCCAAGAAGCTCGTGAAGGACATGCACTACGAGGCGCGCGTCTAGGCCATCATCGACTACTATGCTCAACACAGAGGGATGAAGGTTAAAAAAGAAGAGGCAAGAACAATGAACCTGACCCAGGAACAATTCTTGCAGGTAAATATAGAACATTAATACTTACTTTTTATGAGATTAATTATGCTTAATTTCATTTTTTTCATATGTCATACACTTGATCACGTAGGTGCCTCCGTACTGGTGCGCCCAGCATACCCGGTGCTGGGAATACATGGTGGACAAGTGGTTGGAGCCCGGGTGGGTGGAGACGCACACCGCTTGCTGGGACCGGCGTTTGTTGATGCCACGTGCATCACACCATCAAGGCAGCCTGAGCCTCGACGAATACAGGGAAAAATGGGTATGTAAATTTATTTCTTTATTCTAACACTCAATTCTGCATAATTTCTAATCATTTTGCATTTTTGTCGCAGTCGTCGTCACACGATGGCTAGCCTTGCTCCCAGTTCAAGGCATGGGTTCTGTCCAAAAAGGGCAAGGCGACGGCAAACATCGACTTCAACCCGGAGGACCCGCCCGAGGCGTACAACGATCCCAGCATCCACAGCCGCGTCAGTGAGTACACAGCGATGGCAAGGCAGGTTCATGGGCCACAGTTCGATCCGAGCACCCAGGATCTTGATGGAGAAATCGTGATAAGGGTGGAAGGAGGCAAGAAGCATGGCCGGTACTGGATTGGCGACAGTACAATCGACACGGCCTCTACTCCCACTCTCTCCCAGATCCGAGCAAGGAGCACGAGCACGAGCCCGGCGATACGCCCACGGCCAACCGCTACACAGTTCTAGATGGAGGCTCTACAGGTTATTTCTTATTTATTCATCGTTCGTTGATTATTACGTACTTTTGCTTTTCTTTGTAACATTAGGATGAAATGTTATAGGCCCGGGTGGAAGCAGAAACGAAACAACGGGAGGAGATGGAGGCGAGTATGGAGGAGATGATTCAGCAGAGGGTGACGGCCGAGCGGTTGAACATGGAGGAAGAACAACGGCGGACGATGCAGAGGCTAGAGGAATAAAATCGGTTGAGGATGGACCAAATATTTCAATACATGCAGAATTTTGCATCGAGTATGGATCAAGCTTTGCCACCGCCACCGGTGCTATTCCCTCCACCTCAGCCACCCACAACTACTCCTGTGAGTCACTTGACAGCCACAACCACTGAACATTGTCATCAAATAGCGTGGTTTCGATTTAATTATCAGCAGAAGAATGTCTTAGATAATTTCTTGGGTTAAAATCATCGTGAAACAAAAGCATTGAAAACTTCGTTTGTAGCTAAACACACATGCAAACTACAATCATCATGGTGTTAATTTTTTTTCCGGACGCACGGGCACAATGCTAGTGTAATGTAATTTCTAGGATCATATGACTGAAAGTAGCAATCAGTATACATATAAAAGTAGTATAGCTCTCGTCGATATATTTCTATTGGGCCACCTAGCTTTCTGTCAACAGTACACATGTAGCCAAAAATCAACACTTTGGGGTAGGGTATCCTCCTTTCTTTGCCCAGTTGTTAGCAGTAGGCAGTAGCTAGCATCACCTGCAGTTGCAGAAACAGTGGAGAGAAGCCAATACAAGTATCCAGGATGCAACTGGACCAGCAGAGCAGCAGGCACTGGATATGCAGGAGCTCGCCGCCAGTGCTGCAGGCACTGGACCAGCAGAGCAGCAGCTGCTGCTGCTCGGCCAGCTGCCTCCGCAGCGCGGCGTTCTCGGCGCGCAGCACGGCGTTGTGTTCTATACGTATTGTTATGCCGTCTCCATATCTACTGGAGCAGTGTCACACACATATGTCACCTCAATCTGAAAAATAATTTGCAGGCAAATGTATTGTTTAAGAGAAGATACAAAGCCAGTCGAAACATTTACTTGTGTTCTGTACGTACTCCCACTTTATTAGTTTAATAATATATATAGTTATTTCTTTTGTGCAGTGAGTTTTTTTATATCTGCAGCTCACACATGTAATCTTTTCTCTTTTGTGCAGAATTAATCGGCGGCATCAAATAATCAGTCTCAAGACCCGGATTTATCGCAGAGGTTCCAAGGGCCTCCGCAGTGATTGCATTTGCATTTGAGGTTTATTGTGACTTAGTTGTGACTTATGATGATTTATTGTAAATTGTGATGATGGTTTACTGTGACTTGTGATGATGGTTTATTGTGAATTAAGATGATGGTTTATTACACCTGTGACATATAATTATGCCTGTGATGATGTTTTGTTGTGAATTGTTATATTTTTTTTATTGAGAGGGGTCCGTTATATGTGACAGATTAGTAAAAAAGGGGTCGCTTTGCCGAGTGTAACACTCGGCAAAGAGAGGAGTTGTCGAGTGTCTAGGAAAAACACTCGGCGACAAGACCATTTTCTATTATCTGGGAACCTTCTTTGCCGAGTATTTTGATTTTGCCGAGTGTATTATAATGGACACTCGGCAAAGTGACCATAAATCTGTTCGTTGTGCGGTTGTTTGCTGAGTGTTTTGAGCGCGACACACCCGGCAAAACCAAACTTTGCCGAGTGTTATGACCGTGACACTCGGCAAAGTTTAGAAACTTTGCCGAGTGTTTTGGTCTGGACACTCGGTAAAGTTTAGAAACTTTGTCGAGTGTTTTGGTCTTGACACTCGGCAACCTTGAGAAACTTTGCCGAGTGTTTTTCTGTCGTGCACTCGGCAAAATCGCCGTCACCGTGCCATCCCGTCACCATTTTTTTGCCGAGAGTTTATTTTTGCCGAATGTTTATTGACACTCGGTAAACTATTTGCCGAGTGCTCGATAAAAAACACTCGGCAAACAACTGATAACTTCACCCGGTACCTGAGGCTAATGAAAAATACGCTCTGCCCGCGGCGTGTTTCAACCTAACCTCAGACAAGAAGAGAGCTATATGCACTTTCCTGAGGGGGGTCAAAGTCCCGACTGGGTTTTTAGCAAATGTGAAGAAGCTAGTGTCGATGAAGGACGTTTCAATAACACACTGCAAGGCTCACGGCCAGCTCCCGCGCCTTCTTCGCCAGCCCGCGTCGCCGCTTCGAGAAGGTCACCTGCCGGCTCACGCTGTTCTCGATCCGGCGCACCTCCACCTTGCCACGCCCGTGACCCATTGATCTTCTTCGATCGCACAGCAGCCGGCCGGCGGCGATGGACGGCCGGCCGGAGCTGGAGAGGAGATTAAAAGAAACACGAACTACTAATAAGCCGCCGAGGCCGAGCGCTCCTGTGCTAGCCAAGGCTTGCTATTTATAGAACGCGGAGGAAGCCGGGGAGGGGACTGGACTGCTGGACATCGGAGCACACATGCAGGACGGTTGACCAGTAGCGTCTGCACGCTCACTGGCTCCTCCTCTGTGCGGGCGGCGTCGCTGTCGACCGCCGGTTGGCTGCGGCGCCTGCGAGCGGTGGGCGACCACGTACGGCGCGGCCAAGAGTGGCCAGATGCCGGAGCCCCCGGGACCCGCGGAGGAACAGCCAGATTCCCGACCACCTGCCGGCCGGGACGGCCTTTGTGGCTGGCTGGTGGCTGCTGGGGCGCAGCCTCGGCGCCTCATAGATAGCCTCATACTCCTAGGAAGGATCCCTGAGCTGATACGTGGGCTGTTGCGCTTTGCATTTCCGCAGACACAAAGCTATGGTGCAAACAACAGAAAAATGCATCTTCGTGAACAATTGAATCCTACTATTGTACATTCAATGGATTCTGTTGCATGTACGTACCAAAGAGAACACGGACAGAGCAGGAGATGACCTACTCAACAGATACTTGTTGTACCATCCCAAAGATGTCAATTATTTAGGAGGAAGGACCAGGCTATAGTTATGAGCTATAAGTTATGGATGGCATCAGATCAGGGACTCCTCTTTCTAGACCATCACTAATAAGACATTGAATGCATACCAGTTCTAGCTTTGGAACACCAACATTATCAATGCCAATCTTAATCTTTGATGTTGCAGTTAGTTAGTTAGTTGTGAGAGGAAATTAATGTTGCAATTAGCTAGTGTTCCCTTACAAATCTTGATGTTCGTTTATAGATTGTGTCAATGATGTGTTTAGATGTAGATACCAAACTTTATTCAAATACAGCTAACAAGGCCAGCCGATTTGAATCAAAAGTAACCTAAAATGAATTTAGTAATAATCAGGATTAGCAGCACAAGCGCTAGAAAGCAGTAATATATCAAGTTCACTTTTCATCTTTTTGTCCATATAGTTCCACTTGCTAAATTAATGCTGCTTGGAGCTAGTACCGCTATCAGAAAGACAAATTATGCCCTCTTTTCTTGGTATCATTTGTGGTTATTGCACTCTGGTCTCTTGGCCTGGCAGATGCTCCTCATTGCCTCCAGGTTCTGACTACTCCCTCTTGGATCGCGTCCTAATTTAATTGAGATGATTATGCACCAAACAAGAAAGGCAAACCCATCTTCCTCGTTTGTAATCAGGACGCAAATACTAGATGATTATGCAGCTTACGCACGGTTCTTGCCGTTGCCGCCGCTGCCGACCCTGATGACGTCGAGCAGGACCACCGTGTCGCAGGGACGGACGGCGTGCGACAGCGCCCACTGCAGCGCCGTCCGGGCCTCCTCGTTGCCGCCGTCCGCCGCCACCATCACCTTCCTCCCCACGACGACGGCCTCCGCGCCAGCCTTCTTATTAGCCTCCTCGTCTTCCTGCTTGTCATCCTTCGGCGACTTGCTCTCAATGCCGTCGTCGAAGGAGGTCTCCTTGTTGGCGCATATCGACGGCGGTGCGGCAGTGGACTCAGTAACGCCGGACCTGATCCGGTGGAGGCAGAAGGAAGAGAGCGGCCTGGGCATGGCGTCGGGTGTTCGCGTTTGCCGGGGTTTATTTCTTGGAGCTGGAGGGTGGTTTAGCTGCAGCCTGCAGGGCGAGCGAGGCTACTCAGAGTCAAGGTTTTTTTTATCGGCCGAAATTCATTGAAATTTTCGAAATTTCCCTTCTATCCACCGGGTCCGATAAAATTTGACATCAGCCAAATTTTTTTCTTTTTTTCTGCTCCCACACAGATAACCCAAATTCAGCCGTACGACGGTCTCACACTATAACGTTTTATTCTTGTTTTTATCTGTGAACAAGTGATGTTTAATAGCTTAGGAATAGTTTCAAGTCAAATTCTATGAATTTTTTTTCAAAATAATTTGATTTTTTTTTGAATTTGGTCCGATATTTCTGATATATCCTGTATATCCTCTTTATCCACGACCTCTGATAAATTTTTATTTCCGATAATGAAAACCTTGCTCAGAGTTCAGAGCTCAGAGTGAACTGAAGGGAGGGGGCAGAGTGGTATGGTTGAGAACTTGAGATCAATTAGTACCGGCTGGCATGTGGGTCCCACCCGGAAGTGTAGTCGTGTTGTCCCATGCACGTACGGATGGTTTTGGTTTTGTAGGTCGGCTGGCGGCCACCTACACGTGCCTTTTTCTTTTTCTTCTATGTAGCTATATATATATATATCCTAATGTATTTTACCTTTCTGGTGAACTTCTAATTTTTAAATTGAACTGCTATAGTTTTAGCAGGGGACTAATCGCAAAAAAAAAAGAAAAAAACAGAGGATTAATAAACACCTTCCTCACAACTTACTCCAATTTGATTAGTGTTTCTATGAATGTCAAACCTTGCGTACTCTCCCCGTTCCAATTAAATCAACTTTTAAAGCAATTATAAGTTAAACCATTTTAATCTTAACCTAATTTATGAAAATGAACATCAATATTTATAACATTAAATTAGTATCACTAAATATATTATAAAATATATTGTCAAAATGTATGTATTTAGAGTCGAAGATATGTTACTTTTTCCTATAAAATTGGATAAACTGAAGATAATTTGAGTTAGGACGATTCTAGGCATTAATTTATTTTAGAACGGGGGAGTATAAGTGGAGACGGGGTATTCACTACCGGAGACGGCTTTTTTGCCGAGTGTCCCAGCCTTTGCCGAGTGCTTTTTATCGGACGCTCAGCAAAGTGGCTATTTGCCGAGTGCCATATAGAAAGCACTCGACAAACAAATGGCACTTGACAAAGAGGTGGTTTGTTGAGTGCCGAGCACTGGGCAAAGACCAGGTTTGTCGAGTGTCAGGCACTCGGCAAACTGGAACACTGGGCAAAGGGCCGCCACAGTTAACGGCCGGCAGCCTCCGTTAACCCTTTGCCAAGTGTCTTCTGCTGACACTCGGCAAAGTGGTGATTTGCCGAGTGTCATTTTTTGACACTCGGTAAACCATATTTTTTCACTTTTGACCTTCAAACTTTTTCTGCAGTCCTCATACAATACCTGGTACTCCATGTTCCAATGTGGCCAATTTCTCATACTTTTTCTATATTTCTTTAATTTATTTCATTTAATTGAATTTTCTTGGATAATTCAAATTATAACTGCTAGTTATTCGAATAATAAAAAAATGAATGGAAAAATGATATTCATGTTATTTAGTATAATGTGAGGCCGTATGCAGGAACAGACCATCAATTTCGAACATCTTGTTCACGAAACATGACCACGAACTTGCGGTCGAGTTGTTTTTAAATTATGTAAAAAGCAAACGAAGTCAAAAAATCATTAAACTTGTTAAGATGTCATGATATCATATATGGAGGCTGTGATAAAAATTTGAGGATGTTTCGCGCAAGTTGTCACGTACGATGCTTATAAACCGAAGAATCTCCGAAGAAGTTTCATGATTTCGTCGAGAGGCCGACGAGGTGGCAAGCATCGTACGTGACAACTTCTGCGAAACCTCCTCAAATTTTTATCATAGCTTCCACACATGATATCATGATATCTTGACAATTTTTATGATTTTTGAACTTCGTTTGCTTTTTATAGAATTTAAAAACAACTCGACCGCAAGTTAGTGGTCATGTTTGGTGAACAAGATGTTCGAAATTGGTGGTCTGTTCCTGGATACGGCCTCACATTATACTAAATAACATGAATATTATTTTTCTATTAATTTTTTTATTATTCGAATGACTAGCCGTTATAATTTGAATTATCCAAGAAAATTCAATTAAATGAAATAAATTAAAGAAATATAGAAAAAATCCGAGAAATGTGCCACATTGGAACATGGAGTACCAAGTATTGTATGAGGACTATAGAAAAAATTTGGAGGTCAAAAGTGAAAAAAATATGGTTTGCCGAGTGTCTGAGTTTGACGTTCGACAAAGGAGCCTCTTTACCGAGTGACAGGACGTATGACACTCGACAAAGAATTTAAAAAAAAATTAAACACCCTAACTTTGCCGAGTGCCAGGCCGGGTGGTACTCGGCAAAGAATTTTTTTTTAAAAAATATTTTGCCGTAGGGGGCACTAGCAAAGAATTTTTTTTAAAAAAAAACTCTTTGCCGAGTGCCAGGCCAAGTGGCACTCGACAGAGAATTAAAAAAATTAAAAAAATTGTTTGCCGAGTGCCAGATCAGGGGCACTCGGCAAAGAGGGGATTTAACCCCACTAGCCCAGCCGGCCCACACACACCGCACACATGCACACACGCACGCAGGTAGACCGCGCCAGCGTCGTCGCCGCCGCCCGCGCCAGCGCCACCCGCGCCCGCGCTAGCGCCGCCGCCACCCCCCACGCCGCACCGCCGGTGAGGAGGAGAAAGAGAGGAGGAGGAGATGAGGAGAGGAGGAAGAAGGAGGAAGAAAAGGAGGAGGAGGAGGAAGGAGGCCGCCGAAGCAACGACGCCTTCGCCCTCGCGCGCTCCTGTAGCGGCGCCGCAGCAACGCCACCGGGGCGCGGCCCGGCCCCGCAGCAGCGGCGACCCGCATCCGGGCATCTCGGTCGTGGCGGTGCGGTCCTGCAGCAGCGGCGCTCCCTCGCATCGCTCTTTGAGCTGAATGGTCACCTTGCTCGTCATGCTGTGCTTCGCCATTCTGCAGTGGTGAACTCCTATGCCATCTCCGCCTGATGGATGTGGATGCATGAATAGATTAAGATGTCTTGGTTAGGTTTTGTAATTTAGGGATCTAGGTTAGGGTTACTGTACATTCCTATGTATGTTTGTCTCCTAGAAATAAAGGATAAAATTAGGGACTTTGATTTCCCTTGTGTATTGAACAATGTATAACTTCCCAAAGGTCACTAAACTAACTCATACATTCTTACTTATATGTGTTGGAGAAATATTAGACACTACCTCACTCTTTTCAAGATTTCAGTAGCATTTATTACATTGCTAGGTGTTCCTTCGTGTACATATATTAGTAATGGGATACATATCCTGAATTTGTAATCCCTGATCCTTGCTTATCCTGATTACGTTGCTAGGTGTTCCTTACATAATCTTGTGCATGTCGGCTATCGTGCCGTTCATATATATGTGCATGTCGGCCATCATGCCGTTGGTTTTCTTGCAGGTTTTGGAAACCTCACCGTGCAGGGGAGGTGCTGCCAAAATTTTGTATTGACAGTTTTATGTTTCTTTTTTTGCAGAGAAGAGCCCGTCGGAGCGGAGCCGGAGTACCTCGGCGACCCCGATTGCCTTCCTCGCCGCTGTGGGTCTGCCTGCACCGCGTCGCCTCGCCACTGCACCAACTCACCACGACCCCACTAGCCTGACTCCACCGCCACCCTAGGTATAACCCTTCTTTCCGTATCATGGTCGTAGATCACGTAACCCAGTTAGGCGTCTCCCGTTCGAAAGAGATACGGTTGGAAATATGCAGATATTTCCATATCTAAAACCGTATTTGTTTCAAATTGTCCACGTTTTTTGGACAGCCCACGGATGCGTAGGTGGGGTTAGTTTCCATGGTCTGCTCTGATCCGAGACAGAGTTTCGACATCATCTCCCTGTTGTTCTCTGGATACACACTCTCCCTGGCAGGACGTGTATTTGGAGAACAACGGGGAGGTGCTGCCGAAATTCTGTCTCGGATAGGAGTAGAGCATGGAAACTAACCTCATCTACGCATCCGCACGTGGGATTATGACCTATCCTCACCTATTAGATAGTAGGAACGTCGTGTAGATGCAATTGATGTTTATATTACTCGCCGCTATATATGTTAGAGGATGGAGGACCGTGAGTGGATGTACACGGGCCGCGCAAGTCAGGGTCAGGTCACCAATGAATGAATCGACAAGACCGATGCTTTCTTGGAATAGGCATTTGGCGTGGCTGCTAAAGGAGCGAGTAAATTTTGTTGTCCCTGCAGCAAATGTGCAAATAGGAAAAGACAAACGAAGAAGGTCATGGGGGAACATCTTTGGAAGAATGGATTTACGGCAGACTATACCCGGTGGGTCTACCATGGTGAAGCCGATCGTATGAGAGAGGAGGTGGTGAGACCACGCGTCGAGGATTATGATGCTGATGCCGGGGTAGCAGACATGTTAAATGACTATCACGAGGCACGGTTCGCTGAAGGATATACGGAGGAGCCAGAGGCAACCGCAAATGCGTTCTACGACATGTTTGCCGTGGCATAGAAACCCCTTCACGACCAGACAAAGGTTTCTCAACTGGATGCCATTGGACGCATAATGGCGTTAAAGTCCCAGTATAGCCTGAGTCGAGACGCATTCGATGGTATGTTGACAGTTATTGGCAGCCTGCTTCCGGAGGGTCACCTTCTGCCAAAGAGCATGCATAAGTCACAAAAACTCCTTCGTGCACTTAAGATGCCGTATGAGTAGATACATGCTTGCCCGAAGGGGTGCGTCCTATTTAGGAAAGAATACGTAGAAGCAAAGTACTGTCCAAAGTGTAAATCCTCTAGGTTCCTGGAGGTAGATTCTGGTGATGGCCAGAAGAGACAGCTTGACATTCCTGTGATA